AATAGACAAATAAGTAAATTATCCATCTCTAGCCAGGGCCAATCATGATAGCTACTCAGGAGGCTGATATAAAAAGATAGCAAGTTCAGCCAGGCGTTGGTGGCACACGCCTTTAATCCCAGCACTTGGGAGGCAGAGGCAGATGGATCTCTGTGAGTTCAAGGCCAGCATGGTCTACAGAGAGAGTTCCAGGATAACTTCCAAAGCTACACAGAGAAACCCTGTCTTGAAAAACCAAGAAAAAAAAAAAAGGTAGCAAGTTCAGGACCTGCCTGAGCTACAGAAGGAGTTCTAATCCTATTACTCAGGAGGCAGAGGCAGGTGGATCTCTGTGAGCTTGAGACCAGCCTGTGAGTTCCAGAACAGCCAGGACTATTATATAGAGAAAACTTGTTTCAGAACCACTTCCCCACAAAAGAACAAAATACATTTTGAAATGCACTACTTTGCATTACTAAATTATTAATTTGAAAGAGGCTCAGTAAGAGAGTACGAGGCCCTATATTCAATTTATAATACCAAAAGTAAAGAAAAATTAAATTAAATGTCCCCTTCCATGGATATGACTTAGGTGCCTGGGACTGCGACACCCAGGCTGTAAAGAACTGATGTCTAGTTCAGGCATGGGAAGGATGGTGGCTGCAGGGCGAATCCTTGGGAGCCTTGTCAGTCAAATGCATGGTAGCAGGCTCACTTCTTCCCCTAATCTCAAGGCAGCACAGTTTATTTCTAAAACTAGGGCCAGGGCTGGAGAGACTGCTCAGTAGTTAAAAGTGTTTATAACTCCGGTCCCAGGTGAGTGGCAAAGGACTGGAGGGCAGAAAATGAAGAGAATAAAGGAGACAGGAGAGAGGTGGGAAAGAAAACATATGGAGAAGATTTGTTAAAAAGAAAAAGAATTTACTTGGGAGGCAGAGGCAGGTGGATTTCTGTGAGTTGGAGGCCAGCCTGGTCTATGTTCCAGGACAGCCAGGGCTTGTCTCAAAATAAAACCAAAACAACAACAACAACAAAAATAAATAAATAAAAGAAAGAAAAGAAAAAATTTAAAGGAAGCCAGAAAAATAGCTCAGTCAGTAAAGTACCTGTTGAACAAGTGAGAGGACCCGAGTTCAGATCCCCAGCCCTCCATAAAAGCTTGACCTCCACACATACATCACACACAACACAGACACATACATGAACACACACACACACACACAAATGAATCAAATTTAAAAGAGAAAGAAAAGGGTCTTGAGAGATGGCTTAAAAAAACTCAAACATTGAAAAGAACAACAAAACAAAAACCAGGCTGGACATGATGGCATATGCCTTTAATACTAGTACTCCAGAAGCAGAGGCAGGCAGATCTCTGTAAAATTCAAGCTAGCCTGGACTACATGTGAGTTCCAGGCTAGCCCAACTGGGAATACATATCAAGACCCTAGCACAAAAAAACAAAACAAAGCAAATGTGATGGAAAATACCAAGAGCAGCAAAACCCAGCATGCTGGGAATGGCGCACACACCTGTATCCCAGCATTTGAGATACTGACACATGAGGACCACACATCTGAAGCCAGGTGTCTTAGTACCTCCATTGTCATGATGAGACTGGAGGCTTACAGTTTCAGAGGGTGAGCACATGGCCATCATGGTGGAGAGCATGCAGTAGACAGGCAGGGAGAGTATGGCAGCAGGTAGGCAGGCATGGCCCTGGAGTATGACAGTCCATATCCTTAGCAGGCAAAGAGAGCTAACTGGGAATGGGCTTTTGAAACCTCAAAGCCTGACTCTAATGACACCCCTCCTCCATCAGGGCCACACCTCCTAAACCCTTCCTAAACAGTTCCACCAACTGGGGGCCAAGTATTAAAACATATGAGTCTATGGGGGCTATCCTCATTCAAATCACCAACCACCTCAGGCTAGGTTACATAGACCCTGCCTCAAAAACAAACAAACAAACACCCCAAAGAAATGAGAGGGAATAAAGAGAAAGCTGGATAAGACAATGATGTTAATAATTGACAAATCTCAATTTTCTCTTGTTGCAGTTTGGAAATCTTTTCTAGGCCTCATCTCTGTCTCTCTCTCCTCCTGTAGAGAATGACAAAAATATGGAGCCCTCCCTAACCCAGCCCCCACAAGCTGTGATCTTGAGTGTTCAAAGGACAAGAGAAGTGGGCAGAGACAAAGGCCTGACCTTCAGGCTTTTCTCCATCCCATCTTTCAACCCCTCAAAGTGTGGACCTGTGTGAAGAATGCAGCTTGCTGAAGACACCTATGACATTAAATGCACATAGACACTATGAGCCTTGTATGTGTTGATTTTCTCCAGTTAGTACAAAATGCTAAGACGGTGATTGGTGTAGCGCTTTTCTTTCCTTGTGGGCCAACAGCATTTCCAATCTAGAGCATGACCCATTCTCTGGGCAGTGCCGCTCCTGAGCTCTGGACTCTGGCCACCTGCGAACAACCTTGTGATAGGGCCTCACTCCAAGAAGACAGGCAGGAAACAGAAGCATCTCCCAGCTTTCTCAGGAGGACTATGGGAATCCAGGGACCTTCTGATGAGAAAGTGAAAGCTTGGCCTACCTCTGTCCTCCATGGGGACATTCAAGTCATTCAGAGGTTAGTTGGAAGAAGCAAGGAGGAAAACCAAGAGCATAGGTGGTTGAAGGAGGCCAAGGAGGTCATTCTGTTCCCTAGGTGTCCCTCCTCAGGCAGCAAATGGGCACTTCTCAGGTGCTGCCCTCCCCAAGACGGAGATCCTGGGAAAGCCTTTAACAGCAGGAGTCAGTGCAAAGTCCCCATGACAGCACAGGCCTTCTGCCTGGAGCTTTGCCAAAGGGTCCCAGTGTGCACTCCATGACACAGATTCCATGGGTACTTCACTGGTCCTCAGCCTGCTCCATGATGGAAGCTTAGCAGTGCCCACCAACACATGAACATGCACACACGTGTGTGTGCGCGCGCACACACACACACACACACACACACACACACACACAGGACAAATACACCCAGCTGTCTTTTTAAATGTTAATTATGCCCCTGTGTCTGTCTGATGTCTGGTCCTCTCAAAAGGTATTTTTATTTGTTATTATTATTTGTTTTTGACTGTTCATTGTGAAAGGCAATGATGCAATAAAATATCTTTGGTACCCAGTGTCCTTTCTTGCTTTGGGGGATTTTGGTGTTATATACAGCAGCACGCCTCATTTTATTTTGTTTCTGTTTTGAGATAGGTCTCATGTATTCCAGGCTGGCTTTGAACTTTCTAAATAGCAGAAGATGACCCAAAATTTCTGACCTTCCTGCCTCCACCTCTTTAGTACTGGGATTATGGGTGTGTGCCACCATACCTGGTTTATGTGGTGAGTAGGGATCATTTAAGGACTTCATGAATTATCAGACAAGCCCCTTAGCAACCAAGCTAGACCTTAGTCCCTGGCACAAGTATTTTATTTTTCAAGGATTTGTTTGTGGTGATATCTTTCTTGCACAAATAAAGCCTGTCTGGGGGTCAGAAAATGGACCTTGCCACTAGCTAACCATAGAGGTCTGGAGGTCTGTACAGACAGGAAGTGATGTAGCTTGGCAGAAACAGGATATGAGCAGGGAGAAACAGGAAATCGCTCTCTGCTGAGCCGCTTAGGAGGTAAGGTGTGCTTGTTCCTTCTCTCTGATCTTTCAGCATTTTCCTCTGTATCTGACTCCAGCCTTTTATTATCTAGACCAATTAAGAACCCATTTTACATTTGTTTTATTTTAATGTATGTGTATGGGGGTTGGGGGGTAAGTAGGTAGGTAGGTAGGTAGGCAGATATAGATAGCCAAGGAGGCCAGAGGCATTATATCCTCTAGAGCTAGAGTTTAGGCAGATATGAACTGTCTAAGATGTTGACAACTCAACTCAGGTCCTCTGCAATAGCAGTAAGTACTCTTAACTGCCAAACCATCTCTCTAGCTCTCTCTCCCCTCTCATTTTAAACAGAAAATGTGACGTGACACCTGAGAGCGACTGTCATTTGCTGCCTTCTTGAGGGGTTTTGGATTTTTAACTTGTCATAGATCATGCTGGCTGCTATCCCCCAAACACAACTCCATGACAAGTAGCCAGGCCATGGGTGGGACTCCTGCTACTTCCATCTCCAGGGATTGGCACTGGGGTGGACTTAAGCTGAACACCTCTGTAATATATTGGAAAATTCCTGTGTTCTACTTCTGCTTGTTGAAAGTACACTCTAGGAGCAAAGAACCTCTTTTGTCCCAACTCAGAACTGTAACTGGAACAGAGAAAGTTCCAGGACAGGCTCTAAAGCTTCACAGAGAAACCCTGTCTCAAAAAACCAAGAAAAAAAAAAAGGCTGCCAAGCTCGATTGTCTCAAAAGAAAAACAAAACAAGGGGCTGGAGAGATGGCTCAGGGGTTAAGAGCAGTGTCTGCTCTTCCAGAGGACCCAGGTTCGATTCCCAGCACCCACATAGGGGCTCATAGCTGTTTGTAACCCCAGTTCCACAGGCTCTGATGCTCTCTACTGCTCCACAGGATCCTGCATGCACATGGGGCATGTAAGCTCACACATACACATAAAAATAAAAGATAAGAATAATTAAAAAATAAAAAGCAAACATATACATATACATAAACTTCTCTGTCCTGGGTCAGGTTGGTCCTAAGACAGAGAACTTTGGAATAGGGAGAAAGAAAAACATGTTAGAAGGCATTGTGTCCTTCCTTGAGAATAGCTAGAGGTAAACCATTTGCAAGCATGTCTGCAAATGAACCTGCTTGCAAAGCTCGATCACACCTGGGCTTATTGACTATTTACCTTCCTTCAAAGAACAAGGGGTGGAGAGGGTCATGGGATCCTCACCTGCCTCACCTGAGTATCCACCTCAAATAGTTGTATGCAAGTCTGCCCTGACTGCATGTGCTCTTGAGGCACAGGGCCAGAGGGTGTATGTGGGGAAAGATGAGGAAAGGGGGCTCCAGCCACCTACACAGCCATGGGGAAGTTGTCATCTCCCTGGGGTTCAGACCTTCAAGGGAACTACTTCCTCCCCCACCCCCCACCTTACCCCCATCCCTACCCCACTCTCACCCCATCCCCACCCCACCCCTATCCCTCAGGAGAGTGTTTCTCTTGGCTGTCCTGGAACATGTTCTGTAGATCAGGCTGTCCTCGAACTCACAGAGATCTGCCTGCCTCTGCCTCCTGAGTGCTGGGATGAAGGGCATGCACCACCATCTAGCTCCAGCGTGGCTATGTTAAGGTCTCCCATGTTGCAGCCATAGCACCATCCATTCTCTGTAAACCTAATTAACTCATTTGTTCCCCTGGTGGGCTTTGATGGAATCACACCTGGGTTTGTTGGGCCCTTGGGCAGGAAGGTAAGGTGTTTTGGGGGCTTTTGTTTGGTTTGGTTTTTTGGTTTTGTTTTTTTTTTTTTAAATCAATGTTTGCCTGCACACCAGAGAGAGCATGAGATCTCATTATAGATGGCTGTGAGCCACAATGTGGTTGCTGGGAATTGAACTCAGGACCTCTGAAAGCACAGTCAATGTTCCCAACCTCTGGGCATTCTCTCCAATTTCCCCCCCCCACCACCACCACCAGGTGTTTTAGCAACAGCACAGCTCTGCTTGGTTTTGAATCTTGAATGGTCCCTAAAGGCCCTGAGCATTAACAGTTTGACTGCAGTTTGTGCTGCTGCTACAAATACTTGGGACTTGAAAACAAGACCTGACAGAAGTTTGAATATTTTCAGATGTGTTACATTTGTTTATGCTGTGGAATATTTGTTTAATGATGCAAAGATGTGTTGCATCCTTTTATGTTGCATTTGTTTAATTCTGTAAAGCTGTGTTACTTTGCCTGTCTAAAACACCTGATTGGTCTAATAAAGAGCTAAACGGACAATAACCAGGCAGGAGAAAGGATAGGCAGGGCTGCCAGGCATAGAGAATAAATAGGAGAAGAGGAAAGAGGGAGGAGCAAGAAAAGGAGAAGAGGAACACTAGGGGCCAGCCACCCAGCTACACAACAAGCCACGAGTAAGAAGTAAAGAAAGGTATATAGAATAGAGAAAGATAGAAGCCCAGAGGCAAAAGATAAATGGTATAATTTAAGTTAAGGAAAGCTGGCAAGAAACAAGCCAAGCTAAGGCTGGGCATTTATAATAAAGAATAAATCTCCCTGTATTTATTTGGGAGCTGCCTGGCAGGCCCCCAAAGAGCAAAGAAAAAACAAACTACAGAAGTTAGGCCACTGGGGTGTACCCTTGAAGAGGAGATTGAGATGCTAGCCCCCTCCTCGGTTTAGCTTCCTGGCTGCCAAGAGGTGAGGACTGTATCCACTCCTGTCATGATGTCCTGTGTGCTGGACAGGCCCAAAGCAACAGGGCTAAGCACCACAGACCAGAACCCTAGAAACTGTGAACCAAAATACTTACTCTTTTACTTCTTTTGTATGAATGGTTTGTTTTTGTTTTTGTTGGTTTTTTGTTTTGGTTTTTGGTTTTTAAGACAGGGTTTCTCTGTATAGTCCTGGCTGTCCTGGAACTCCCTCGGTAGACCAGGCTGGCCTGCAACTCATAGAGATGCACCTGTCTCTGTCCAATGAGTGCTGGGATTAAAGGTGTGTGCCACTGCCACCACCACCACCTGGATCTTATATGAAGGTTTTATAATTTTATTTTATAATTTTTTGAGACTGTAGCTCTGGCTGGCTTGGGACTCACTATGTAGACCAGGATATTCTTGAACTTAGAGAGGTCTGCCTGCCTTTGCCTTCCAAGTGCTGGGACTAAAAGTGTGTTCCACCATGCCCAGCTGATTAGTTATTTTCGTGTGTGTGTGTGTGTGTGTGTGTGTGTGTGTGTGTGTGTGTATGTGTGTGTGCGCGCGCGCGCGCGTGTTTTCACACCAGGCAGACAGGTGTGAACCACAACATACAGGTAGAGGTCAGAGAAGAGTCGATTTTCTCAGTCCACTGGTCACATGGATCTCGGGGCTTGAACTCAAGTCATGAGACTTGGTCAGCAAGTGCTTTGTCTGAGGAGCCCACTTATTGGACTCCCTTTTCTAAAGTTGATTCTGGTGTTTGGCAATGGAAAGTGGATTAACATGGGTGGGACCCAGATGTTCAGATACCAGCACATTAAAAAGAAAAAAAAATAATCTGAGTAGATCAGGAATCCATCCTTCCCGCTGACCAGGGTTTCTTAACCACACCTTCTCCCCTTAGCCCAGGACATTCCTAGAGTTCAGCAAATTCCATGGTCAGTAGATGGCGCTGTCTCCTATAACTTGCAGAAAAACGACACTAAATGAGCCATTTTCCAAAAAGGCTTGTTTCTAACTGCTGATTTCCTTCTTTCGTTCTTTCCCTCCCTCCCTCCTTTATTTTTGTTTGCTATTTGCTTTGGAACAGGGTCTCAGGTAGCTCAAGTTGGCCCTGAACTTGATATATAGCCAAAGGATGACTGGCCCACCTGACCACCACCTCCCAAGTGCTGGGATTACAGGTGTGTACTACCACACCCGAGTATAATCATTAACTTTATTTTTTGAAGTGTGAGGGTGCTTGTGCGCTCATGCTAGCTCTCCAATGCCACAGCCTGCCTATGAAGATCAGAGAGCATCTTTGGGGAGTCAACCCAGGGCTTCATTCATGCTAGACAAGCACTGTTTTGGGCAAGCACTGTACCAACTGAGCTATAGTCCCAATGTACTTCATTGCTGTTTCTTGTTCTGTTTTGTTTTTGAGACAAGTTCTCACTGTACACACTGGGGTACGTACCCTGAAACTCACTCTGTAGCCTAGGCTGGCCTTGGACTTATGATCTTCCTACCTGTAACTCTATATTGTTGGGATTTCAGGAGAGAACTGCCATGCCTGGCTCAGCTGGACTTTGTTAAAATATTCGCATCATTTTCACTAGTGCATTAGAGATCGTCCATTGTCTCTTCTATTGGTCTGCTAATATAACTGAGTGTTCTTGGTGCTAAATGTTTAACCTGAACTGTCATTCATTTTCACTAAGCTCTGGCTCCACCACGGAGCTACATCTCCACTGCTGAGTAATGCTGCTGCCACAAAACCAGGCACAACTGCTTAGATAACAAACATTTTATTTTGAGGTAATTTTATGAAATA